ACGCTTATCGAACTGCTTCGGATAACTCGGATACTTATAAAAGCAATTAATTCGATTGCTTAATTCGTTAAAGTAATCTATAAGATCTTTATAAACTATATTCTTAACGTCTGCTTGCTTTATATAAATAACGTAAGAGTTAAAAGATCTCGATCTTTTTATAATTACGAAGAAGTTTTGCTTAAAATACGACGATTCGTTTTAAAACATATCTAGAATATCGATAAAGTGCTCGTAAAGTTTAAAAGAGCTAAGACGACCGTCGAAACGAAATCTTAATACTATATGCTTAACCTTAACATCGTTAAATTCGTCACGGATAGCGAAAGACGCTACTCTTAGACCGTTAAAATTAAAAAGATATTAAAATAAATTAAGTGCGAAGATATATCGAAAGCGCGAGCTTTTATTAAGATCGTAGTTTATTATAGAATTTAAATCAAAAACTTCTTTACGATTGCTGCTTTAATTTACGCGACTATAAAAAAAAAGGTCGAATTCGAATAGTTAAAGCTTTAGCAAAAAGCGATAAGGCTGCTTAAAGAAGCCTTGCTCTCTACTCTCGCTTTTATCAAGATCGATTATAACAAAGACGGAAAAAAAATTTACTTAACGGTAAACGCTAGTCTTAAAAGATAAAAAGCAATATTGCAGCAAGAAGATTCCGATAAAAAGCGATATCTTGCTAAGTTCGAAAATAGTCTTTAAAACTTTGCGAAAAGCAAGTACGACGCGACCAAGCGAAAATGCCGCGGTGCTTTAAAAGCTATGAAAAAGATAAAAAGCGAATTATACGAGGTTTACTTTATTTTAAAAACCGACGCTAAAGTACTAGTTGATCAACTTAACGGATTAGCGAGCGATTTGCTTAAAGCTTTTATTACGAACTGGATTGCGTAGATAAAATTAATAGACTTTAAAGTCAAGCATATCTTTAAGATTAAAAACACAATAGCGGACGGTCTCTTTAAAAAAAAAAAAGCATTTTTTAGATATTAAAAAAAGAAAAGAAAAAGATATTAACGATTAAGTTATCAACGAGCTAAGCACTGTTTTAATATTCTTAATTAAACGACTCGTAAATTATAATTCACGAGCCAAAAAGAGAGTTTTAAAGCACGATTATTCGCCCGACTTTAAGCTTATTACTTAATTCCTTACTACTTTTAAACGCCTTCCTTCGATCAAGACTTACGACTTTTAAAAGTTCAAAAACAAAGCACTTAATTACTTAGTCAAAGATAGTCACCTTTATAAGCGAGCAGATAATTCTTATCCGATCAAGCTAGTTATCGACGGAACTTAAAAACGCTACACTGCTATTTCCGACTCTTATCGAGAATCCGGATATAAAAAAGCTGAATTAATCTATTACCGCACGTTAAAACTCTTTTTTTAAAACGGATGCTACGAAGACTACAAAACCTTCGTCTAAAGCTGTAAGCTTTATTAAAAACGCAAAGCTAAACGAACAGAAAACCTTTTATACTCGACTTAGCTTACTTAAATATAGTCAAAAGTTAGCTTAGACGTATCACGAGTACTTACTATCGACAAAAAGATAATCTGCTTCGTATTAATTAAAGAAGATTTATTTAAATAGCTAAAAAGACGACCACTTTAATCGGCCAACGCCGAATCTATTATTAAGTTTCTTTAAAAAGATATCGTTTGCCGCTACGGACTGTTCGAGAGATTAACTATCGATAAAAGACTCGAAAACAAAGCAGTTGCTAAAGCCTTCGCTATTAAGTACGGGATCAAAAGGGTTTAAATCTCGAGCTACAATTCAAAAGCAAATAGAATGATCGAGAAAAGACATAAAAATATCTTAAATAGCTTATCGAAAGTCATAAATAAAAGATTTAAAAATTAAGTTCGCAAATTTAATAAGATACTTTTTACGGTCCGGACATCGATACACGCACTTACTAAAGTTACCCTTTTCTTTTTGAACTACGGACGAGAAGCTAAGCTACTTTTAAAATCACGATAGCTAGTTTAAAAGTTATTGCTATAGCAAAAGGTTCGATCCCGCGCTAACTTGCTTATTATAAAGTTCAAACAATTAAAACTCTAAAACGAAGATATCGACGAAATCATTTTAAAAAAGAAACGCTATCGACTTACCGTTAAAGCTACTTAAAAACGAGTCAAAGTCTTAAAGTCGGAACTTATTAAAGAAAAAGACTTAGTACTACTTTACGACGTCAAACGCAGCATCGACATGTCCGCGGATATCAAATTGGATTATAAGTGGCTAAGACTTTATATCGTCTTTAAAGCTTACGATAAAAGATACTACAAACTCTAAAAAACCGATAAGACTAAGCTTAAAAGCACTTTTGCAACCAACCGCTTTAAACGATTCTACCGCCGCGATCAAACCTTCTTTCCTTTTAATAAAGACGACGAAGAAGAAGAAGAAGAAGATTCGGACTTTTTAAACAACTCGGACCTTAACGAATACGAGCCTTCCGACGACGGCAAAAGTGAACTACTTAACTTAAAGGTGATCTCGAGACTTAAGTCTACTAATTTCTAAATCATTCTTTTAACACTCTCGAAAGAACAAAAATTAGCTTACAAAACTGTTTCTTAATCTATTCCCTTACTTTATTTTTCTTACTTTCCTATCCTTTCTTTATTCTATACTTATTTTATAAAGAGACGTGCCCTTAATAATCACTTTCTTTATTTTAATAAAAAAAGGTATTTCTTACGTTTATTCTTTCACCTTTAGACTTGCTTTTTATTGTATTTTTTATTCTTTCTTTGTTCCTTTCACTTTACTAGCTATTCACTTGTCTTACACAGATTGTTCTTATTGTTTAATTGTTTTTTCACCTGTTTTAAGCTTATACGGCTATTTCTTATTTCTTATTTAAAACTGTTCTCTTGTTTTAAGCGTGCTTAACCACGTGTATTCGAAAGTGAACTGCTATTAGAAAGAGTAAGTCCTTTTTACAAATATACTTATATAAGAAAGCTCCTTCTTCTTTCTTCTTAACATTTTCTCTTCTTATATAACAACAATTACAATAACACTACTACTACTTTCTCTTTATAATTATATAATACTATATTAATACTAACGACCTTAATTATCATTCAATCAATCACTATTATTATCAGCCTCATTCCGCTATCTTATATTTAGCTCGTAAACCGTGGTTTACGAGTCAAATATGCTTTTTAAGTCAGCCGCCGCTAAAGGAAAAGCTTTTGTTCGTGATGCACCTTTTAGCCTATTAATAAGCGAAGAGCAAGCCGCTTTAGCTCGATAATCGAGTTTCGAGCTAAAGTTCGAAAGACGAGTTACTAAGACTTTCGATAAGTTCCTTTAGACCTACCGTTAAATAAGCAACTCTAATCAACTAGCTATGCTTAAAGTAACAACCTCCGACTTTAATAACAGATTAAGTAAAAAAGACGACTTGATCTTGCAATACGATTAATTCTTGCGAGCCGAATGCGCAAGAAAGAATATAAACGCCGAAGACTTTTTTTCGGCTTACGACTAGTTTACTACTAAAGTCACCGCTATCTACTCTTTACGCAACAAAAACGCCGAAAGACACAGACGAATCAAAAAAGCTTTCGACGGCGCTCGAAAGCAATTGTTATATAACGATCACCTTAAAGCTGTATGCACTTTAGTCCGCAGCGCTCGCTAATTAAGCGTTATTCTAAAGAACTGCACTTTTAACGCTTACGCTATCCAGGTCATCAACTATTATATTATTGCTTACGTCGCTTTCTAAAAGATTATAATTAATATAACTCGAAGACGCAAGTTCATTAAGCTTAATGTTACGGTAATCAACCTTATTTGCTAGACCGTAAAAGATAAGAACAATACTAAGTAGAAGGATAAGATCGCTATTCTTAACGAAGGACTTTTAAAGAAGCTAAGACTAAAAGTCTCATTATATAGCTTATTGATTTTGGCTCTCGACAACATTGAAAACGAATACGACGAGCTTAAAGAACGTATAGAGTTTGCCGACGAGAATCAGACTTAGAATTTCGTTTTACAAAAAGAACCCGAATCCGAAATTCTATTCGTAAACTATAGTTCACGAGTAAAAAATAACTTAGCAACTAAAGCGAGATTAAGTCAACCTTTTGCGCTTAAGACCCTTTTGCTTAGATCACTTATTACGCGCCTTTCGCTATCACTAGCTTTATCTTAAAGATCGACGTCATCTTTTGCTAATAAGCTTTCGAACGCTAAACTAATTGCTTCGATCATGTCTACTTTACGCAAATCTACCGACGCGAGCTCCTTTTTAACCTTTAGACTTAAAATGCAACGCGACCCTTTCGAGAACTAACTGCTACTAGCACTACCCGTTAAAGAAGAAGACAGCTTCGAGTACGAACTAGCCAAGGCTATATCGAACCGCTGCTTCGAACTTATCGAGATTAAAGACCTTATAAGTATAAACGTAGCTTTCATTAACTTTTGCTAAGACTTTTACTAATCAGCCTTCGACCGCTTGAACTTAAACGAGAACATCGATAATACTTTTTAAGTTGCCGCGGAATCAATTAAAAAAGCTATTAGCTAGATCCGCAAGCTTTTAAAAGACGAATTTTCTAACAACGCGATCTTACGACTCTTCGACCGTTGTAGCCAAATGAAAGTAAGTAAAGAAAGAAGCAAGGTAATAAACTACTTCTTATTGTCCGAGATCTTTAATTTAAGCCTTAACGACGACGATTGCGATTATACAAAAGTCTTTCAAAAGGTAAAGAACGTGTTAAAATTTAAAAATAGATTCAAAGAACTCTTTAACTTAAACGTTTAGACGAAGCTCCGCTTTAGCCGCAAAGTCTTACCGTCCGCCACCGACCTGTTAAAGAAAGTCTTTTGCGAAGTCCACACCTTTGAATACGCTAAATATCTTAGGCTAGCTACGAAAGGCTTTATAACAATAATAATCCGTTCCAACTTGTGTCGATTCATCAAGGCCTTCCAAACCAACGCCTTCAACATGGTCAGTGATCTCGCCACCCTTATGTCCGTCATCACGAAACAAAGTGTTTTCTTAGACATAAACGCTTTTTAGGATTCCCTTTGCGGATAAGCTATCTTTTCTAACAACTACACCGCTTTGTTAAACGATAGCACTTTAGAAAATAAAGTCAGCTTTATAAAGCACGCTTGCACTATCGTCTTAAAACGCATGCCGCTAACCTTTCGGTAAAGAGTCATTAATAAATCAAGCCAGCCCTTCGCCGCCACAATCCAGCTAAACTACGTCAGTTTCGTATCAAAAGCTTTGATCGGAAGAATAAACTAGAACGAACCCCGAGTAGTAAAAGAATTGACCGCTATCTTTGCTATGTCCCGGACCCAGTTCTAAGAACACTTTATTAAGCATAAGAAAAAGTTGTTTTCGGCATTTAAAAAAAGATTTGCTATCGTCTTAAATGCTAAAGCCAAGACTTACGGAGCTAAGTCCTTTTCTAAAAGCAAAAGCCGCCGAGCTAACGACCTTGTAAACGCCGACAAGTTAAAGGATTTTAAAAAGAGCTTACGACCGATTAAGTTGTTTTCTAACGACTTCGATTCAAGTATAAAGATCACTTTGGAAAGTACGAAATCTACTCGTGAATTACGGTTCACGAGTTAAATCAGCAACCTTAAAGGATCTTCTTCTCAGCCGGAATCCTTAAACCGCGCATTCGATGAAGCTATAAAAGCCTTAGATGACTTACCTAAAAACGAAGACGACCTAACTAATAGCTCCGGACCTTATTCTAGCTTCGCTAACCTTCCGTCGGCCAAGTTCATACCTATCAACGATGCTATTAACAAGCGCAAGAACAACACGCGCTCTTTCACCTTTAAAGATGCTGCTGCTAGCACGTCATCGTCCAATGCTAGCCCTATTAAGAAGAAAAGACCTTCTCAGCTTAAAAAGAACGAAAGAGTTGAAGACGTAAGCACGGAAAAAGACTATAAAAAAGCTGCTAAAGCGTAATTTAAATATTTAAATATTTAAAGTTTAAAGACAAGATACCCTCCTTTTTTTATATACTAGATTTTTCTTTCTTTTACACCCCTCTTTTTTCTTCTTTGCTTGATAGTAAGCGGAAGCGCTTACCTATTCTATAAAAAGACGGATGTAAACACCTTGCTTGATAAAGTACCTGCTATAGCCACTAAGGCCACACTAAACGGACCCATCTTCTATAAAAGGGCACACATCTCTTAGCTAAAACAATCAACGAGCTTTCCACTTACCTTTTCTGACACTTCTTTTGTAAGACCATGAGGTCTAGCCTCAGAGCCAGGCTTCTGTACAGTACATCTTTTTGGGTGCTTCTACATCACCTTTTTGCACTTTTATAACATTTAATATAAAATGTTACCCGTTAAAGTAAACTCGTTTTCACTTACGTAAGCTTTATTACTAAAGATAGCTACGAAATCGATTTAAGAGTTAAAGTTAGCGTTATTAACAAACGCTCCGTTTACGAACACAAAGAGCTTCGCAGTCTTTAAGTCTAAAAGCACGTAATAGATCTTTCGAGTTAAGTGATCGATCAGCTACTAGATCACTTTATTAAAAGCTTTATAGTCTTCGTCCTTCGGTTCTTAATGCTAAGCGGCTATCGATAAAGCGCAAGATGCTTTTAAGTAGCAAATAATAGCTAAATACGCCTTTCGGGTACGTTGCTTTAAGTATTCTTTAGCCCGTATAGCTGAATCGAGCTTAATTATTGCAAGCCTTTTACCTTGCCCTTTTTGCTTAATTAACAATCCGAACCTTTTTTTATCTAAAGATAGCTTGCATCTATTGAAAATCATTAGCTCGGCGTGTGTAAAAGTCTTTATTTCTTTGCTTTTTAGCTTAGATTTGACTAGCTCTTTCTCTTCTTTTGCTTTTATAGCTAGATTAACAACTATAAAAACATTATCCGTTTATAAAGCAGCTATTCTTAACTGATCTTTATTAATTGACACAAAGAAACAAGAATCAAAGCTCGATTGCTTTATCTCGAAGTTATTCGTGAAATGCTTTAAAAAACGCTTATACTAATGCGTTCTTGCTTCGAAGATCTTATACAAAAGGCTAGTTATAAAAAACAAAGTGCTAAAAAGAAATCGATAAGTGATCTCTTTAAGTAATCGCACGACGATTATTCGGATGAGCTTCGTGCTTAATTAAGTATAAGCTTAAGTGATATTCTTATTACAAACTTAACACTTGTAGTCTTTTATTAAAGAAAGAGCTAAAGCATAACAGAGTCTTTAGCCCGCTCGCTGCACCGTAAGTGACTCGGTAAGTACTTTCGTTTTGCTTTTGTCTTAAAAAGCTTAGACTATTATACGAGACTTCTCGTATAACGTAAGTGTTCTTTTGCTTTTAATCTTATTAACAAACTTAAATCCGAAGATCTTAACGCTTTTAGCGCGTAAGTCGGTGCTCGAGATTACTTAAAAGATACTTTAAGCTATTAATCTAGCTAATTCCTTTGCTTTAGACTCTTAAAATAGTACTTCGAGGCTCTTGATAATTCCTTCGGCTCGTAGCTTAGTTAAAAGCTTATAGTCCCGGCGTTTTTTATCGGTAATCAATACTTCGGAGTCTTTAATAAATAAAACGTAAGAATCGCCTTTCTTTTCGTCGAGCACGGTCGAGATATTAAGATCGTACTTCTAATAAAGTATTTAAACTATTAGTATTGTTAACTTTTAAGGATTAGCAAGTTAAAAGTTAAAAGGGCTGTTTATTAATCTTAGCGAGCTTTTTAGATTAAGCGACTTCGGTGGATTAAGCGAATGTTAAAGTTTAAGCGAATTTCGTATTTTCAACTCTTTTTCGCTTTCGCTTTAATCATCTTTTACTTCTTCTTCTACCTTTTTTTTTACTTTTACTTTAAATACTTGCAACTCTTTTAGCAGCTTTTCAACTTTAAAGTAATAAGGTTTTATTAAAGTTGATTTGAATTCCGTAAGCCTCGGACAAGCTATTATGCACGTATGCCTTTGCTTGCTAAGCAGCTGAAAAAGGCCTTTCTACTTTTGGTTTTCCCGCTATACGAGCACTCGTAAGCTAATAAAAAAGTCTAAAATATGCTCCGTAATTAAGCTATTCCTTTTTTTAAGCGCGTCCTTAACTTGCTTCGCAGCGTAGCATTTTCGTACTTCCTTTATAGCCTTGTTAATAGCAGCAGTACGCTCTTAAGTAAACGCGGCAAATCGATCTTGCTCCGTCAGCCTCGATAAGGTTTTAAAAACGAAAAGTATAAGAACCAAGCTATTAAGTCTAGCTGTGTCGTTAATAGCTTTAATAGCTATTTAAAGCCGGTCTTCCTTTAAGGCTTTTAGAAGCTCTTTTATAACGATCTTAAAAGCGCGTCGCATAAAGACGTAATAGCGTTTTACTAGCCCGACGCTATAATAAGCTTTTACAAGCATCTGCTTTAAAGTGCTACTAATACTTTTAAAGTAGCTTTAAAACGTTGCCGAATTAAAGTTAGTTCCGAGATCGTATACTACGTTTATAAAAAGTCCGACGTAAGTATTGACTTAACATCAATTAAATCTTTTAAGTAAGTGCTATACGGATATGCTTTTAAAAAAAGTGGCGGCTTGAAAATTAATAGAATCGCAAACGACGTATAATACGTTTTTGCTATTAAAATGCATTACGTCTACGTATACCGTATTATTAAAGTCAGTATCGTCTTTAAGTTTGATATTAAACTTTTTCGAAAAGCGTTCGAATACTTAATAATAATAGCAAAACTTTTAGATATTATAAAGCAAATCTCGCTTAAATTCGTGCTCGGCCCTTTTAAGAACAACAGCAAATCGACCTGCTAAGAAGTGGCTAAAACGCTTATAAATAATCCTTAATTGTTCTTTCGTAAAATAGCAATAAACAGTCTCGCCTTCGATACTATAATAAGTAGCAGCGTGCTCTTTACTTAATAGCATCTATACGTATTTAAACATCTTTATTATTAATATTTCTTTTTTCTTTTAAATTAGCACGTTCCGTAAGTTATTTAAGATCACTTTATGCTTATTTATATCAGCTAATAAAAGTAAAAAAAGTACGTCGCTTTTTATAACGTAGAACTCTATTTGACCTAAAAGAATATCTAAAGTAACTGCTTTAATAAAAGTAGCAGAGCCGATGCCGTATTTAACGGACTTCTTTCTTGCTCGAGATATATTTAATTAGACCTCGAAGTATTTCTTTTAAAGTGCTTATAGCTAAAGCAAGCTAGCGGTAAAGAAATTAGCTGCTCCGCTGTCAATTATAAAGCTTATAAACACGTTTTCAAAGTACTTAAAAGCTATATAAGTCTTTGCTTTGCTCGCGGGCACGTTTTAAGTCTCGATTTTACTAATAAAAGCGTAAAATGCCGTTTGAATTTCTAGTTGTTTATATACTTCGTCAGCGTCAAAAGTGCCGTAAGTAATTATAAAACCTTCCGATATATTAGCGCGGCTGCTCGATTCAAGCGGCTCGTTTAATAAGCTTACGATAAACTAATCGAATTCTTCCGTAAATACAAATGATAAGCTTTTAATCGATGTTACGTATTAAAAGAATTTGCTTTTCGTTACTCTTTTTGCGTCTTTAAAAGCTTAAAACTTAACGACGAATGCTTTTCTTTCGTCGAAAGTGTAATTAATGCTTTAGCAACTTAGCTTTTTACAAACAAAACACCTTTTCTCACTTTTAATAATAGCTTTAACAGCTTTCTTACTTTTAAAGTATTGGCGGTCTTGAATAAAGCATTCGTATTCTTCGTTTAAATCGGAGTCAGCTTTTAAAGTGTTATAAGAACAAGTGTGATCGTATAGCTCGCTAAAGCTCGCGTAAGCTTTAGCTTTAACGAAAGGTCGAGAAGTCTTAATTGCAAAAGCAATTGCTCGACGAATATTAGCAATTGCCGCGATAAAAGTAAAAGCAAGATTCATTCGTGCAATCGTAGTCTTTAGCACGTTTTTATAAACTAAATACAGCTTGTTAATAAGACTTCGATCATCTTTTAAACTTAGTCGTAAAGAGCTTTAAATGCTCTTAAGCTCTTTAACGAGCTTTTCAAAGCACTCGTTAAGCGAAGTCTTTAGATTCTCTTTCTTAACTAAATCTAGCGAAATTTCTTTTTATTAGTCGTATTTTGCTTGCCGCCGATAATTAATCTCGAAGTGGTCTTTTACCGCAATAACGTTTGCTTTAAACGTAAGAAGCTTAGCTTTGATCATATGATTGTAATAAAAGGTTATAGCCTCTTTCGTAAGCATAATTAAGAACGCTGCTAAATAATCGTCGAAGGTCAAACCGTATCGACTTGCTTAATCAGCAAAAATCTTTAATTAAGTTTTGAAATCATCGTCGGGTTTTAAGTACTTTAGCTTTTTAAGAAAGCTTCGCGCGAACAAAGCTAATTCTTTCGCTCTTAAGTAAAGGTCTATTGCTCTTAGCTTAAAGAAATCGTCTTTATTATCGTTAAAAGCGCTTAAAGTGCCGTACGCAAGCGTGCTATGCTTAACTAATAGTCGGATCGGTAAAAGGTTATTAATATAATTGCCGGTTGTAAGTCTTACTTTTTTAAGGTTTTTAAAAAGCTTATTTCCGGATCCGAAGTCTTTTAAAAGTCCGTTGCCGAATCCCTTTAATAGCCCGGAGAAGCCGTTCTTACTTTTTCCGTACTCGTAGCCTCGATCTTTTTGCTAATCTTTTTCGTTCTTTCTTCGTCGGCTATCGTTAAGATCTTTAAAGCTATTCGGGTCACCGGCTAAAGCTTTAGCTTAATAATATCCGTATCCTTAAGCTTGCTTTTAGCGATTCTTATACCTTTAGTCTCTCTCTTATTAATACGTAGCCTTTTAAAAGATGTGAGTAGCTTGCCGGTACGTCCGAAAGTGCTAGATCCTCTTTTCGAGTTGCTAAGGTTAAGCACGGAAATCTGCACGCTATCTTTAATAAAAGTTGATTTTGTCTAGCATGCTTTT